CACCCTCCCCCCCGCCTCGCCCCCCCCGCGGCCCTCCAAGCCCTCCCTGTATGACCGCAGCACCACCTCTCCTCAGGAGCTGCCAGCGCCACGCACAGCCACCCCCGAATGTCGCGGCCGCAGGAGCAGCCCTTGAGACAACTGAGAAGTCACCTTAGGCGAGTATTTTGCCAACAAGCCCCATCTGCACCATCGCCCCTGGAGTATTTTCACGTGCCCATGTGCGCAGCAAGAACCAGCGGCCCCGCAGCTATCGCACATCACTACCCCACAGCCCTGCGTCTTTGTCGCTCTCCTCCCAGGCGGCTTGAAAATCCCAAGAGCATAAGAAGGACATTTAATATTTTTATGGGCTTCCTCCCCCCCTTCAGCCATCACCTGCACCGGGCACACACCCCTCCGAGGCCAAGGATTAACTAGCAAGCCACTGTCAGTAGTGGAAGGGGCAGAAAAGCGGGAACGAGAGGACAACGCCAACACGATTTTACCTGTGGAATGCCACGTGTGCGCCCAGGCACGGTGCCCGGCTGACAGGGCGCGTGCGAGCCCTCCACAGACCTGTGTCGGTCTAGGACAACGCAAAACGAGCACCAGAAGATGCTCCCAGATCGTTAACGTCAGTGGAGCGGGTGCAGAGGGGAGACAGCCACAGCAAGACCTCTGTGCTCCACTAACCCCCCCAACAAAGCTGCCCCGTGCCATTCTCCTGGTGGTCTCCTCCCCGGGATGGCAGAACCTGCTGCTGACAACGACCCCTGCTGCAGCAGCGTGGGCTGCCTGGGGGGCGCGGGGAAGATGAGCTGCAAGCAGCTACAGGGAAAGACAAAACAGAAAAGGAAACATTCTGTTATTTCTCTCTTCTTTCCTTTTTTTCCCTCCCCTTGATTAGGTCAGGATAAGAGAAATTCCCACAAGTCATGATCGGTAAGTAGCTCAATAAAGAAATTACCCTGCAAGGTACTATGATAAATTTAATCCTTACATGCTTTGAAGAAAGAAAGATAAACAAAACGTTTACGGAAGAGGAACAGGTCGGTGTGGTGTTTGTCGTGCTGCCTACAGCACAATGATGTAACTGGAGGCACTTGTAACTCGGCCACCTCTAACAAGACAGTGAACTATTTCCCAGCTTGAGATGATGTTCGGACCTCAGGCAAAGACAGTTTCTTTCTTCTGCTTCTGTCAAAGCCCCCGGCAAAACTATTAACTTTGATGAGCTCTGTGGATATAAAGAAACGCTGAGGAACCATCAATTCCAACGCTGAAGTCCAAGGTGCCTCTGATTATATGGAGCAATCCTTGCAACAGCAGGCTCCTAACAGCCCCTCCTGTTTCACAGAGATGCCCAACACCCGTGAATGAACTGAAATTCTGGCTTCCGTATCCTTGGAGACCATTTCTTAAGCTAGGATATCCATCTGTAACTTAGATGGACTTTACTACACAATTAATTCCATGAATAATATTTTACCGAACAAGAGGTGTTGGGTTTTCTTTGGCTTTTCAAACTAATTTTAATGACGACAAAAAGGACACTTTCCTCCTATCGCTTCCAGAGTCACCAGAGACAGATGAAAATGGTATTTCATCAGATTCTGGTGAGGTATGTGCACTTGGCTGCCTTGCTGTCTACAAAAATATACTCTGAAAAAGTTAACAACGAATCAAAAAACCCCTGGAGACGAGCATGGCTGGGAATCTCTGGCTTGTCCTCTTCCTCCTGTAAACTTGCAAAGGAAGGCGAAAAGGTTCGCACCTACAGACGTAGCTCAGCCCAGGTCCCCTCCTGCTGCCGCAGGTCTCCCCGGGGGGACAGGCTGGTCTCAGGCAGCCCCACGCTTTCTGGACAAGCTCTTTGAGAAACGCCAAGCCGATCCAAAACCTGCCCCCGATGCCTCCTCCCGCACCGGGACGCCGGCCACGCACCGCGTGAACCACGCGCGGGCGACACGTGCAGACACTTGGGGGTTCACCCCCGAATCCTGAGGTTTCTAGGGCCAGCAGGCAGGTGTAAGCGCACGCTAAGGTCCCCACGTGGATCTCAGCACACGAGCAATTCTCTGCACCCCAGAATTAGAACAAATTTCATAACGTGCTGAGTTACCTCTGTACAGGTAGGCACACACAGCTAGAGATGAGCTCTGCTCATTTTGTTACCACGTTGTACGCCGCGTGTCAAAACAGGGCTTTACAGTGTATAGTTCCAACTGCTTCTTTATGTTGATTTATTATCACATCCAGGAACAGTAAAATTATCTTTCGATGTGATGGAAGCAATTAGTTCACAGCTTCCATCCATACTGGAGTCAAGCATATACATATATATAAACATTATATATAAATGTTATATATATATATGTGTGTGTGTGTGTATATATATGTTCATATACATGTATTATTTCATACATGCAGATCAAGTTCAGCTGCTTAGTTAAAT